CTGTGAAGACTGCGAATAGGATGAATATAATCGCTTTGTTCTTGAGGGTTAAAAAACTGAAAACAAAGACTAGGAAGCTGTACTTTCCATAGAGGATAGTAAGATCCTAATTATATCCAGTAGCCTTCACTGGGTATTTTTGTGTAAAGTAACAGTATTTAGTTGAATTGTATTTTTTTACTCTCTTTGGATAAAGTATTTTTTTTAAGGTCTGTTTCCTTCAGATTTGACCTCTCTTTAGAACGGTTATACGTTCCCTTTTTGTTTTTTTTCTTTCCAAGCTGTTTGAGCAAATTCTGTTTCCATCTATGTCACTGAAGCCAGTCCTTAGATTGCTGATCTTTAAAATGAGGGGTTTAGATTTGATGATCTATTAGCACTCTTCCATTTCTACATGTTTTGAAGCTATAAAATATATATGTGAAAAAACTTCATAAATTACACAGAAGTGGGCAAAAGTAGGTTTACTGTAAACCTACTGTTGCCCACCCCTGTATAGGATAGTAGTAGTGTCAATATTTTAAGTAAACCTCAATTGTGATAAATTACCACCACATACTAAGTCATTGTTTGTTATAAATTATGATGTACAGAATTACATTTTAGTACTTAGCACATTTTCTTGAGAATCCCAGATCCTTTAAATGTTGTGTGAGATGGGAAGATCTTTATTTATTTGAACATAAAATAAGTAGTGTCTAAAATGTATAGCCTTTCATTCAGGTAAACTAAAGGAGAAGCTAAATATGCTAATTTCTAGATAGGTTGTCTTCCAGAGTCATTGAACTTTCTTTAAACATATAAGTATATGTATAATGATTATGAATTTTTTGGTTACTTTACTTTGAATTAGAATATTTTAGTTACAGGGAATAAACTATGTCTCATTTACATTTTAGTAACAATTTCAATAAAAGGGAATTTAAGTCAAAGACTTTTCAGGAACATTTTTTCTAATGTTCTAATTTTCTTAATCTCTTTATTCTAGGACTAATTGTAAGCCTAGAAAAGGAACTGGCTCCATTATTTGAAGAACTGAGACAAGTTGTAGAAGTTTCTTAATCTGACAGCGGTTTTTTGTCTACCTGTCTTCATTATAACCGACACAATATCTAGCAATCTTGATACCACAACAATATTGTGTCCATGTACTCAAGAAAGGGCCCCTTTTCTACCTTACACTAAAGAAAGAGTCTATAGATACAATTTATGGACAGATTGATATCTTTTCTTATATAGGTCTTATTTACTGAGATCTGGGGATACCACAGAAATGGTTCAGTCTATCACAACTCCCATGGAGTTAGTCCAGTCACCACATCTGCATGAGATTCTATTGGGTGGGTCAGAATCAAAATGGTACTTTGATCCACGTGAGCCATGAAATGCTCCCCCTTGTACATTCTGCCAGGCCTGCAGAATGAAGCAGATCCTTTTTATTATGAATAATAATAAGGACATATTTTTTTCATATTGTTTTATTTCTTTGCACTGAGTGTGGGGATGATAAAATGGCTTAGTAAAAGTAATAAAATCAGTACAATCACTAACTTAACTGTGTATATGTTATTTTGCAGTATAGATGAATATTACTAATTGATCTGATTCTTCTCAGAGGGTGCTGCTGTTTAATGAAAAAGGTAGCTAATATTCCCCCCTCTGCTTTCTGTAACCAATCAGTGTTTTAATGTTTGTGTATTCTTTATAAAATTTAGATGTGATTCATTATTGAACTGTTTCCAATATTGGTATATATGTAAACATGATACTACAGCCTTTTTTCCCAATACATGAGTATAAATAAAATAGTATTTTTAAAGGTATAGTTTGAGCACTATATAGTTTTTTTCCCCCCAGACTACTTTCAGAAGTTTAAGGATATAATTATTTAATTCACTCTTTCAACCACATGAATAAGTAGCGAGTGTTTCTTGTGTATGTGGGTTTGGAGATGGTTTTACTTAGCATAAACTGTCATTTGGAAAACAAATATTCATGAGCCTAATTTAATCTCTATGAAATTGGTATCATACTTCTAGAATATGCCTTTTATATTTAGGAGTGCAGTCCGTCATTGAAGGTTGTTAATTTCCTCCTGGGTGCTTTAACAATCAGTTTGCCCGGGTATAGTTCAGTACACATGCATTGAGGACCTGTGTGCCATTTCCAGAACCACCACATTGTAGAATTCTAAGGAACACAACTCACATCATATTTCCATGCTCCAGGGATGCATTTTACGTGGAATGTGTGTGGATGTGGTCCCTGGAGTTGTGGAGTAAGATAGTAGTCAGACACTTTGCCTGCTTGCTGCTTTCCCTCAATCCATCTCCCTCCTTTCATCCTATACAAATGTGAGACTAAATGGCGGTACCTACCTTTAAAGAATTTACTGTTCAGTAAATGAAACAGGTATGTTAAATGCTGTGATAAAGGATGCTATAGAAACAGAATAGGGGCATTTATTTATTTAGCATTAGATTCTGCTTTATTTTGAGAGAATAGGGGCATTTAATTGGGCAAGAACAACAGCCTTTACAAATAAATAGAGGCAAGAGATATGCTTTAGCTGCAGGGAACTATACTTAGTTAATTGTTACAACCCAATGAAGCATTAGACACATCCATTAAAATCCAGAATCCCTATTACCTGGGTTATTTAGTAGTGTCCAGGAAATTTTTGCCAATGCAATGGTTCATAAAACAAGAAGGTCTTTTATAAACGAGGTGACCAAAATTTTAATTGCAGGTAATATGTATATAAAAACCCCAGGAAAGAAAACTATAAAGAAGTTGAAGGGATTAGCTAAAGAAAATATGTGCATATCCTATGGACACAGACAATAGTGTGGTGATGCCAAAAGAGGGAGAGGCAGGGATAGGTGGAAGTGGGCAAAGGGGGCTAGGGGGTTGGGGGAAATCTGTAATAATGTTAACATTAGAATTTTAATTTAAAAATATGATAGAGACACTTAACCTTTGCATGGCAAATAATGCTACTATTAAAATTTCTATTTGACGTGGTATAATAAATTATAGTTCATCTGGAAAAATAAGGTGAAAATCTCTTAAGTTTTGAAAAGATAATACAAAACTAAATTTGGTACACAGCTAGACAGATCAATGGAACAGACTAACCCAATAACAGATGTCAGTACATACATATGAGGACTTTAAACATAAAGATGACATCATAAGTCAATGGGGAAAGGATTATTCAGTAACTAGTAGGGCAGGCATTGTTTATACTCTGCTGATGGAAGTAAAAATTGTTATGCACCTTTATAAAGGACAGTTGGCAATCTATCAAACTTCCAAATACTAAGATCCTCCAGAGAAAAAGAACCCACAGACACAAAATAATTAATTTGGAAATCCCGGTGTCACTCAAGTTGACACAAAACCATACCCAGCAATTTCACTTCTAGATATTTATCCTCTTGATGCATATGGACACATGCAAAATTATATATTTACAAGTCTATTTATTGCAATTTGATTAATACCAAAGGATTGGAAACTGGATACCCATCATAGACAGGGTGATCATATGTTGTGGGGGTTTTTTAACAGTACCAGTTCATACCCTGCTTACCCTTGTAAGCTCGACACCACATACCCAATTGGAGAAATAAGGACTGCGATTATTATATTCCTTATTTTCTGTTTCAGAGCTCTAAAATCTTAGAGCAATTTGACATAGTGACTTTATGGCTGTAGAATCTGATCATAAAAATGGAATTGTGATATTTGTATTTTTTACTCCATTTTTCTAATAATTTGTTTGTATTGGATTTTACAAAATTCCAGTCTGAAATTTAAAAAAGAAAAGAAAATCTGATCCTTCACCACAGATGATTTAGGAAATTGCTTGACACCATGCCCTGACAGCCTGAATCCACAGTGAGCAGGGTGGGCTCAAGCCTGGAAGTCTGCTATGTACTGTACTAGCTCAGGTGAGGATCTAAGAACCCTCTCTCATGCCACATGGGTGGGAACAGAAGGGCTCCAGCCTACTGAGTGTTCTGACATCCAGTGGCTCTGGAACTGGGGGCAAGGTCCTCTCAGAGGCAGTATTAGCCCCACCATGGGGGTGACTGTCCTGGTCCAGAGGGAACAGTGGGCAAGATGATCCTAGCGGAATTCTGAGAATACAGTAGTCCCCCCCTTATTCGAGGTCTCACTTTCTGCAGTTTCGGTTATCAGTCAACCATGGTCTGAAAATATTAAATGGAAAATTACAGATATTTTGAGAGAGACCACATTTACATGACTTGTTACAGTATATTATTATTATAATTGTTCAATTTTATTACTAGTTATTGTTAATCTGTTACTGTGCCTAATTTATAAATTAAACTTTATCATAGGTTTATATGTATAGGGGGGAAAAACCATAGTATTTATGAGGTCTGGTACTATGCAGTTTTAGGCATGCACTGGGGGTCTTGGATGATATTGCCTGTGGATAAGGGGGGGCTACTGTAAATGCTAATACTCTGGCTGTGTCTTAAGAAGTAATGCCTTTATGATGAGCACATACCTGTTAGCAGACATGGCCTGACACAGCCACACCACCAGCTATCCTCCCAAACAGCCTCACTCAGACCTGCCGTTGGCACAAAACACTCGCCCTCACCTTGGACTCATACAAATAGCAGAGGGCCTCCTCTCAAGAGGTGAAATCATGACCACTTTTTAGGGCTGCTGACAGCAGCAAGTAAATCATCTAGCATAGTATTAATGACATAGTAGATACATGTTAGCTCACCTTTTTCATGTCAAACCCTCAAAAAAGTGGCTTTATCCCCAGTGCAGCACACTCTCCATCATTTACTTCTATTCGTTACCATCTATTTATTATCTTTTGCATATTGAACTAAGAAATCCTTGAAGACCCAGACTACTTCTTCAGCTCTGAATCCTTCATAGCTCACAGTCTAACTGATATGGATTTTTCATTGCTATTTATGGTATTAAGCAGTTGAATTCCTTTTAAATTACAGATGTTAAAAATATTTTTAATGGCAAAATATAGGCACAGAAAATCAGGCTCTTTTAATAAACATAGCCAAAGCATATAAATAAACATGACATATTTTACAAAAAGTAAAAACGATATTGCCTACACAAAGAAACACCCTTGGTTCTAAGAAAACAAAACATAAAACCGTACATCTCAGTAAGGATTCATTTGTAACTCCTTACTTTGCAAACTTAACATAATACGTTTTAACTTGACATTTGCTTTATCTTGTATGATACAAACATAACAAAATACACCAAACATCTTTTTAAAATATACAAACTTTAATGTAATTTCTGAGACCTAAATGTTTAAATTAACAGAAAAACTAATTTAATAAGCTATTCCTTCGGGCTGCAAGAGCAGTTTTATATCACACCTTTGCACCATAATCTTTGTATTTGGGGGTTCATCCTCCACTTTCTCTTCCTTCAAACTTCTGTTTATAAAAAGGAGTATTAATAAAGATAATAGAATTTATTTATGAGCTGTGGATGACAGTGTCTCATCCCCCTATTTCAATCCCCTTATTCTGGTTTGAAAATGCTGGGTAACAAAGACACCATTATACGTGGCGTATAGATTTAGTATTGCTCCCTCAACTGGCAACAGAAGTTGCTCTTGAATGAGGTGCTGGGTGCTCAGCGATCTCAGTGCCAGATGATTCTTAATTCTCTTGGGCCAACACCTACAGTTCACTCAGGAAGGGATTGGTGCAACACACCCTCCTTGAGAAGGCTCAGTCTGCTTGGAGAAATGTTGGATGAAGATAACTTAGTGCTTACAAGTGCTCTATTGTTATAATAACAATTATAATAATATTAAACTATGTCAACTATTACTTTATTACCCTTACTCAATTTATGTTTTTTCTCTCTTTAAAACATTTTCTCCAAAATGATTAAAATACATATTTTTTAGATTATACCTTCCTTTTTCATCCTGCCTACTCATCCATAAGACAGTTCTCACAGGTTTACTGTTAGAAGGGAAGGAAGAGCCCATCAAATTTCTGAGCTTTTTACAAACAGAAAATAAATACTGCAAACATGTTCCATTATAGTTTTGGAAATGTTTTGTATAAAGGAGAAAAAAGCAGAATGACCCTGTCCCCTCCCCAACCCAATCTTTGATGTTTGCTGTTCAATTTACTTTCTAAAGAGGCAGCTTGAGCTTCAAAGTAGATGGCTGTTTCCTTCCTGGTTAATAGCATAACCTGGATGTCAGATAAGCTGACCATGACACGGAGTGAGACTCTGGGCAAATGCCCACGAGCTTGGCAACCACCACGAGGGAAAACACAAGCCCTTTCTCTTCTGTTGCGTGTTCGGAGGGTGAGCATACTGGGCGTGGCCGCTGCCCCGGTTTCCATCAGAAGGTGACGACTCAGTATTCTGAAGGAGATGACAGCTTCTTGAAGGGCAGCAGTTTCCCATGAGTCAGCAAATGTGTGTTCAGAAAGATCCAGATCAGCATCTGCTTCTGATTTGTTTTTAAAGAAAATCGGTAGTCAGCTTTCAGCTGAAGCCAGCTGTGGATCACAGCATCGGCCAGCATGCCAGCCACGCGGGCCAGGGCAGCCCTCCGGGAAAGGTCTACTTAAAGATGAACGACCGAGATCGGATTGTGCCTTCCCTTTGGTCCAGCTGTTTTCTTATTTGAGACTGTAATAAAATGCACATACATGTGTGTGTGTTATTGAGCAATTTTAAGATAACAAACTCTGGCTTTGACAAATATTCAATAAGACATGCTGATTAGTAAGGAAATCATGCAACTGTAAGTTAATTATCATGTGCTCCCTCCCCAAGTTTTAATCTGTTTTTATTTTTTGTATTTTTCTCAGGAGAAATATAGTAAAGTGATTGCTCAAATGTGTGCAAATTGGGAATTGGCCTAATACTTCAAGTAATCCATAAATGCAATACTAGTAAATTAATCACAAGAAGACACAGATCTAAATTTATTTACGTGGAAAGATGTTCATAATATATTATTAGGTAGAGTGAGCAGGTAAAGAACACTTAAGAATGATTAAATTTTGTTTAAAAATATTTATTGGCACAGGGAGAAGTCTGAAATAATGTGCATTTGATGCATTTTTAACCTTAATTTTTCTTTTTCTTCCTTTTCGTTTTTCTTTTTTTAAATATATCTTTATTGATTTCAGAGAGAGGAGAGGGGAGGGAGAGAGAGAGATAGAAACATCAATGATGAGAGAGTCATTGATTGAGCCCGCAACCCAGGCATGTGCCCTGACCGGGAATCGAACCCCGATGGCCTGGATCCTAGGTCAATGCTCAACTGCTGAGCCACGCCCGGCCAGGCTTAACCTTAATTTTTCTATAATGATTATATGTTGCTTGCATAATTACAGAATAGGAAGAATAAAAAATTCATATCTCCGCAAAGTTTTCATATGGCAAAAAATTTCCCACTGAATATCAAATACACTGGAACCATCTCAAATGAGTGCTATATTTATGTGGATTTCAAACTGAAAAGATAACCAAAGCCCAAGCCCCAGTATCTAGAAAGGAAGATTCAACAACATTCTATATATTAGCTAATTTCATAAAAACTTAATTAGAAAAATTCTTTATGTTTAAAAACATAAAGGGTTTCAAGATAATATGTAATTTTAGAAACCTTTAAGGACAATTTCTAGGCTAATAGTCACTAACTTACAAACACATACAAAACTGTATGAGACTGCCTGGCTTGCGTGACTCAGTGGTTGAGCATCCATCTAGGATCCAGGAGATCCCCGTTTGATTCCCAGTCAGGGCACATGCCCAGGTTTCGGGCTCCATCCCCAGTAAGGGGCGTGCAGGAGGCAGCCCATCAATGACTGTCATCATTGATGTTTCTATCTCTCTCTCCCTCTCCTTTCCTCTCTCTGAAATCAAGAAAGAAACATTTTTTTAAAAAAATGTATAAGACTGATAAATTTTTATATGCACTCCATATCCTCCCTGGGAAATATATAGGAAGCAGATAAAATAAATTACCTTTTGTCCTTGACCTGTACAAAGTGATGCTTATGTTGGAAATTAAGCTAAGTTCCTGTGGCAAGCTTTGTCTCTGACAATTTAAAAGGATTTTCAACTATAGAAATATGTTCAACTTTCCTCTGCCTTTCTGGTCCCATTTGCCCTCCTCCAGGCAAAAGTGGCCAAGCCTGCGCACTTAACAGAAGACCGACAGACACTCAGGCACAAGGTGTAAACCCCAGTGCGGGTCCATCCTTTCTCTTTTTACCCCTTTCTGCAGCCCTTCCATGTCCCAGAAGAATGAACAGAGTAGTCCACAAGCCTGCAAGTAGACACCCCAGTGATCTTGGGGATAGTCTGACTCTTGTCTCAAATCATCAGGATGTTATTTCTGAGCACTAGGCATCCATCCAGAAAACTTGTATAACTCACCAGTTTCCAGCGTAATATCTTGATCCACTCATCAGCTTCTACTCCTGTCTTTGCACAGAGATAAAACGTCCTGAATGGAAATACTAAGCTGATAAGACAAAAGAAAGAAGGTAAGATCCTCCAGGTGGTGAGCTGAATAGATATTCGTTGAACACTAACTAAGAGTATTCCAAGAAAACAAGAATTGAAAAGGGGCCCGGGGAAGCAGTCTGAAGAACTGGTGTAGATGGAGCTATTCCTGCCAGCACTCTGCAGAAATGTCGAGGACGTTATAGATTCATGTTATCATTATGGGTCAGATTTATATTTTCTAATGAGAATTTAAAGAAGAGGAAAACATGTCCAGGACACCCTCATATCCTTTTGTCTTAGACTAAATACAACACTTCCATGTTTATTCAGCTGATCTGTAAAATTACTAACGGTGCTGTGATTCAAACAATACCCAAGACAGAGAGAAAGAGTTTGATGAAGGAGCTCACTCGGGTTAGCTTGCTTCGATGAGGATAACACCGCCCCCCTGTGGATGTGGGCAGTGTTAGCTACTCAGGCAGGCAAAAGAGAATGAAACTCCTTAGCTAGTCCTTCTGCCCACCTCTGGCCACGAGTTAGTCTCTGCTGGAGGGAAGGTGAACTTTCCTACTAGGCACAAAAAACTTGTTCTAGGAATATATGGTAGCTCTTCATTTGATTTTCTCCTTGACTATAGAGTCAAAATTATTTGACTAATAAGTTCAGCTGTAGCTTACCTCTTGCCCATACTTCCTGTGCTTACAGTTGCAATGCAAAATACCAAAAACCTTTTTTCCCTTTCATGGGGGAAAAAAAAAAGCCTTGAACTGAAATGCCGAAAGGTTTTTATATCCTAAAGCCCAAACAGCATATTCTGTTTAAATCAGGAATTACTGTTGTATAAGTAAGAGGTCAGTCCCTGTGTACAAAAGGTACACCTACCTTCCTGTGAAGTCCTGCCAAGAGGTGAGTGGGCAGTGGGGGGAAGGAGGGAGTAACATTGTGCACACACTGTACAAAACTGGCTTCTGGAATCGTCAACGTTTGGTAATCCTTGTGGGAGACATTATTACTTGGCTATTAATACAGATAATATTTTCCTTTTTTCCTATTAATGGAACTCCAGATGATAAATTATAATTAGTTGAAGCCAATTATAATCATGCTATTACCTTTTTCAAGCTTCCTCTGCTGCTGGCAATGGCCATGGGACCCAGTCTAGGCCCATGACATGTGAGGGGAAATCTGACAGGACACTTTCTAGGAAAATGGACAGTCATGATTTACATGAACTTTGGAGTAGTGAGCATGAGGAAAAGGCCAACAAAACTGTAGAAACACAGGACCTGACCTTGTCAAGACAGCTGCCTGCCTCCCAATATTTTGTTATATGAGAAATATAAACCCCTGCTAGCTCATATGGTTCCTTTATGCAAAATTTTCAAAAGATGTCCATTCTTGGTTGATGCTATAGAATTAATTTCAATTTTTGTAGGTGTGATAAAGGTATAGTTCTATAGGTGATATTTTTATTCTTAGGAGATGCATATTGAAGTAAAGTCCCATGATGTATGCAACTTACTTTTAATTGGTTCAGGAAAAAAAGTGAATAGATAGAGATAAAGCAAATATGGCAAAATATTAACAACTGATGCATCTAGGGGAGGGATATATGGATATATGTCTTTCAACTTTTGTATGCTTGAAAACTTTAAAATGAAAGTTGGTTGGAAATAAGACACCTCTTTCTCAACATACTTTACTTCTCCCAGTTAGAAAATTGTCATGCCAGCCCAGCCGGGCATGGCTCAGCAGTTGAGTGTTGACCTAGGATCCAGGCGATCGGGGTTTGATCCCCGGTCAGGGCACATGCCCGGGTTGTGGGCTCAATCAATGACTCTCTCATCATTGATGTTTCTATCTCTCTCCCTCCCTCTCCTTGCCTCTCTCTGAGGTCAATAAAGATATATTTTAAAAAAAAAAAAAAAAGAAAATTGTCATGCTAGACTGATTATGTCAGAACAAAACATTTTTGTGTCATCTCCCAGAAATTGCCATAACAATACAAATCACCCATCATTGGAGTCAACGAAGTTGTTTAAGATGTGAGTGGGACTCTTACGTGTCTCACGCTTGGGCAGTGTACAGCACAGTCAGCTGCACCCAGCAGACGTGCACTCCCAACCTAAATGCCCTGGGTGCTGGTTAAATCCACATCACTCAGACCAAAACATCTGTGCACACTAAGACATAGTTTTTTATTCCTTAGGTAAAATAAGTGGCAAGAAGACTTTAAAAAACATTTCTTTTATCAAACAACTTACCAAAAGCAGTTTACCCTTTCCTGTGAGTAATCAAATTGTACAGCTGAACATTCTGTTAAGTCTAGGATCCGAATTGGTTCTGGTGACTTAAAAAAAAAATTAAAACCACTCATGTCATCATAAAAACTCACATATCTGTTCATCACTTATTCCCCTAACAAACCTTCCACTATGTGCAACCGTCAGTTTTTCCTTTCACCGAGGGCATAAAGATTAGAAAACCTACTAAGGGAAGTAACATATTCCTGGTTTGGAAGTAGGCCTACTGGACACTAAGAAGACATTGATTTATCAATTTTAATTTGATGGAGATGGATTTTAACACATGGAAGGGAGTCATTTTTCTCATGTTTTTTAAACTACTTTCTCAGAAATGTTATATAGAGAAAGTGAAAAGAAATGAAATAAATTTAAATCGGCTTAATGAAATGGACTTGGGACATGGACATGCTTTTAATAAAGGGACAAATTGCTGCAAAAGACAGTGAATACACTGTGGCAAGAGAACAATCCCACTGCCCTAGTTAAGCTGGTCCCAGAGAGCAGTTCCTGGAATACATGCCTCATCTTTGCAAAAGAACTTGGCTCATATCAGGAATCAAGAACTCACATCTCCACCAATTTATTAGGTGTTGCAGATGTTCATAAGGAAAATTTGGGGGATTTTAAAGGCAGATATTCTTTTCATCTAGAGAGCTGATTTTTAAAGGGAAAATGTATTATGTTTCTTACCATCTGGTCTTTGAAGTATTTCAGTTCATTCCTGTGCAAAGTGAACCACCTTGTTTTCCAGGTCTGAGGGAAAAAAATCAGAACACATAAGTTTTGAACACAGAAAATATCCAAAAGATAAGGCACAATAAGATATTCTTGTGGTATCATTTCTGAAAAAAAGGTTTCAAAATATCTACAAAAATTAAAATGATTTTATGCATTCAGCTCATAGTAAAGGCAAGAATATTATTTGCATATTTAAACAAATAAAAAAATAGCCTACCATAAATATTCAAGGTGTTTTATAACAAACACTAAAATTTCCATTTAATTAACTGTAATAAGGATAGATATAATTTTTTGAGCATCTGCTGTGGGCCTATCCTTGGAGGGTATCCCCCCAGAAATGTATACACACTTAATAGCTGATAGCTCAATTGATGTTTCTTTCTTTTCATATTTAACTCATTGGAATTAATAATTATTCAAAGTGTGTATACATTTTTTGGGACACCCCGTATATTATAGCCAATCCTCACACAACGCCAAATATTATTATTATTATTCCTGTTTTACAAATATGCAAATTGAGGTTTGGGAACCACAGACCACACAATATTCTAAACTTCACCTAAGAATTCCATGGCATTGATGGTAAAAACTGTTGTTCCCCAAACCCTAATCTCATCCTAAGTGCCAATGTGCCTGGTTAAAAAAATAACAATGGATCTAAAACTAAATCTGCTATGAATATGAATATGTCCTGTCCTTAGGGAACATTCAGTCTAGGAGGGACACAAATAACTAAATGTTTAAATTCAATTCAAGCAGGGAAGTACCCTTGAGAGATAGGAAGTGCCCTGACTATTGAAATAGGAAGGGTAAAGATATTTCATGAAGGTCTTCTTGGCACAGTAAAATGAGAGAGAGTAACTTTAAAAACATGACCACATAAATAGAGGGGCAGTTAAACACCCAGACTAGTAAAGTCCTAAATTGTATTTTCTTTGGGATTTTTTAAAAAACATAGTACATTAATGCCAGTGATTTTTTTTTTTTTGATTTTTTTTTTTTTGCCTTCTTAGAGGTACCATTTTATATAATTTCAACTTCTTCGTTAAAAAATAATATTTTTAAAGCAATATGCTAGAGGTAAGTTGCTACTTTCATCCTCCATCATTCCCGTTAAAAAAGGATTGTATTTTTTTCTTGGGTATTAACTGTCAGTTACTCTGATACCTTTGGCTTTGCCAAAGAATAGTCAAGTAATTTCCCAGAATTTTAACTAATATTAGCCATCCAGATGAACTCTGGAAACAGGCAAATATTATAACTGGGTCCAAATGAGCAGGCAGTGAATGCTTTTAAAAAGTGTCAAAGTGAGAACTGAGCCTGCTTGACGCGCTGTCCTCCCTCGGGCCGGCCCCGGGCCGCTCGCCCCCTTACCTTGACCAGGCCGCCCTGCTTGGTGAGGTAGCCCTCCTTGGTGCCCAGCTGGAAGAGAAAGAGGCGCCCAGTGAAGCCCAGAGCTAGCACAACATGATCTTTGTCTTTCTATTTCTGTCCTATCTTTAAATAAAACACTTGTTTGCCTTTGATCTTTAAATAATCACCTTTCATTCTTCACCTAGGCGCTTGAAAACCCTTCCTGTGTTGTTAGAGACTGTCAGACTGGGTTGTCTTGCATAATTCTGTAGCAACAGGCAACAACTGAAGTGCTCTCTTCTAACTGGACTTAGCGATTTGCAAACAATAAACCGCATCTTACCCCTTATAAAAGTTATTTATGGGCAAAGTGTGTCATGTGAAACCCAGCTGCTTGGATGGCTGCAGGGGTGCTAGGAGCATGAACACTCACACACATACACGTTGCCACTGGGTCAACACATGGGGGAAACTGGATTAAGCAAAATAAAAGGAATTTCTTTACTTCCGTGATTCCCAGGGTCTGTATTATGCTGATGTGCTTTGTGAATTTTTAAAAGGAAACATTAGAAATACCATGCCAATATTTATTTTATTGCATAATCCTCCACCAACCCCCCTCTTTTGTTTTTCATAGACCATTTCTTGAGACCTATATTCCATGGAACAGACTTTCCAGAATGCAGATTTATTTATACTTGATTCATCCAAAAGGAATTGGAAGTGAGAATGAGTCATTTCTTCTAACACATCATTAATTCAAGGGTAACAACGTCACACACTTCCCTAGGAAATATAAACTGTCACAAACGGTGAGGAACTGTGGTAAGAGAAATTTGCATACAATAAGAGCCCTAAGAAGAAGAAATTTATAATTTTATAGATTTCCGCAGAAATTGAACTCCTGGTAAGATATTTTGTTCTAATATGGTGTTATAATATATCTTATATTAGTAAAAAAAAAAAAAGAATAAAAATGGGGAAATAATTTAGTTGACTTCAAGGTTTTTTTTATGGGAGTTTCCAGAGTATTTTTTCCTGAGGTAAATTCTCCCTCCCAAATAAAGAGGAACAACAACCACCACAGTAAAAAGAGTTAAAGCAAGAAATAATATATGACCACTTTTTAAAAAATTCATATAGCATTAAAGTAAGGATGAACTTCCCAAGTGTTCATTTAACTAATACTAAACAGTATTGGTGAATTTGATTTAGCAGAATCAGTTTGATTTATCTTGACATTAAAAGAAACTGAAGTGACAACTTAGTTTGGTGGTTGCATCATGGAAGTGACAATTGTTGCAGGTTAAAGTTTGCTGAGGCAAAATAATGAAGGGTAAATTGTTACATAGATGATCCTGATAGAATTGTTCATTGAAATCAAGCTAAGGAATTAAGCTACAAACTTCATTGTACCTCCATCCAAGCAATATACTATAAGTCTAGTATTTTTCTAGGGTTTTGGTAGGTAAGTGGAAGGCTGCAGAGGGAAGAGCTGAGAATATTAATGTTATTCATGGTCTCAGGAGATAAGAAAGGAAATAACTATATAGCAGATTTATCATTTAAAATAGTTATGATTTGTAACAGGAAAGATATTTATAAGTAAGTGTCCCAAATTGGAAACCACCGAAATGTTTAAAAATAAAGGATTAGCCTTCCTACCATCCTTTCTATCTGTTTGTGTGCCTGCCTGCCTGCTTGCCTTAAATTTAAGCAAAAGTCATTGGGTGGGGCGGAGCAAGGTAGGTATCAATGTGAGTGCGCCCAGGGTCTCCACCTCAGGGCAGGGTGGACCCAAGCAGGGTGCAGAGGGCCTCCGTGTGGATACGGTGGCTGCAGCAGCGTGGAGTGAGGCACGGAATGCCGGCAGGTGAGGAGGGCTTTCTGCCCGAAGGGACGGACGTGGCGAACGGGGCATCGTTTTAGAGCCACGTCAGGCTAGGCTGGCATCTGAGGTGAGGGTAGGAGGGGCAATGGCCAGGCAGTGGTTCCTGGGCAATAGGAGATAGCTTACATTTGATTGATCACAAATAAGTAAGTGTATTGAAGATCATTGGATCCATATTCCTCACTGTGAGATAAGGGAGTTACAAAAATGAAAAGTGAAAACACTAGAATGAGTCTTGTCATGTTGGATTAGGATTGGAGGTATTGTCATTAACTTATGGATAAATGCTGGATGGATAGCTAGGTATAGATATAGATAGGTATAGGGATAGATGGATAGATGATGATAGATAGATGATAGAGAGATAGAGAGAAATAGAAGTAGAAATAAATACAGATGTCAATATAGGTATGTGTACATATGTATATACATACATACTTTTGCTAGCGCTGTTCTCAGAATGGGTTGGGAGAGTGACATACCAATAACAATAAGTATGTAGCACCCAGGTTTTGGTTTCTAAAGTACCACTCTCCAGAAGAAAGAACAGAGCTTCTTGGAGAAATAGCTGATTCTAGAGATGGACATGAAGAATGTACAGATAAGCCTGGAACACTTTGCTATACCAGAAAGTAAGAAAATTCTCAAAGAATTATGAGGCTATAATGGCATAGAAGTCACCTTGAATGGGTTCTTGCTGGCCAATCTGGGAAAATTTAAAGGATCAAAATAAATGATAGTCATGATTACAATGATTGGTATAAAAATAAATGATTGCAGAAGTTCAGAAAATAAAAAGCTTTTTCTTACAATAGAATAACAACCAATATGTGTAAAAGGAAAAATAGAATCACAGAATCACTATTTGGCAACAATATAATACTAATTAAATAGCCAAGAAATATCAATGGACGCTAAAACTGGTGGATAAAAGTTTAATGGAACAGCATATTAACTGAAATCTCAAACTTCCCCAAAATATTCATTAATAAAAAAGGGAATAGTCATTTCAGAGTGAAGAAACCTGGCAGATGCCACCTAATCAAGCAATCAAGCATACCTTAATGAGACAAACTGAAATTACTTTCCACCCCAGAAGATGCACTGAGAAGGGTATTTCTACCAAAAATGCAAAACTTGAATCTAATCTTAAGGCATCATCAGACAAATCAAAGTTGAAGAATAGTTCATAAAATAACTGGCCTTTAATTTTCAGAAGCACCAAAGTCATCAAATCAAGGAAAAACTGAGGAAGTGTCCCAGAGTGAAGGATACTCAAGAGGGGGGCAAATAAATGCCACTTGTGACTGTGGACTGAGCCTTTTGCACTATAGGACCTTACTGGGAAAACTGGTGAAACCTGAATGAGATCCCTGGATGGGGCGGTGGCACTGCATCTATGTTAATTTTCTAATTTGAATGGCTTTAGGCGGTCATGTAGGCAAATGTTCTTCTGTGTAGGAAATACACACTGAAGTATTGGGGTGATGGGGCATCATGTAGGTAATTTATTCTCAAATGGCTCAGCAACAAATACATTTCTTTGTACTATTATTTTTTCTAATTTTTGTTGAATTTATTGGGCTGACATTGGTTAATAAAATTATATATATTGTATTGTGTGTTCACTACCCTGAGTCACATCTCCTTCCATCACCATTTATCCCCCCTTTACCATCTTCTACACACCCCGCACCCCGCCCTCCTTTCCTTCTGGTAATCACCATACTGTTGTCTGTGAGTTGTGTGTTTTGTTTTGTTTTCTTAATCCCTTCCCTTTTTTCACCCAGCCCTCCAACCCCCCTCCCTTCTGACAGTTGTCAGTCTGTTTTCTGCATCTGAGTCTATTTCTATTTTGTTTGTTAGTTTATTTTGTTCATTACATTCCACATATAAGTGAAATCATCTGGTCTTTCTCTGACTAGCTTATCTCACTTAGCATAATACTCTCCAGGTCCATCCAAGTTGACACGAAAGGTAAGATTTTCTTCTTTTTTAAAGACAAGTAGTATTCTATTGTGTAAATGTCCCACACCTTTTTATCCACTCATCTACTGATGGACATTTGGGCTGTTTCCAAGTCTTGACCATTGTAAACAACACGGCAATGAACATAGGGGTGCATATATTCTTTTAAATTAGTTTCAGGTTTCCTCAGATATATTCCCAGAAGTGGAATCGCTGGGTCATAAAGTAGTTCTATTTTTAATTTTTTTAGATAACTCCATACTGCTTTCCGCAGTGGCTGTGCCAGTCTGTGTTCCCACCAACAGTGCCCGGGGGCTCCCTTTTCTCCACACCCTCGCCAGCACTTGTTTGTGGATTTATTGATGGAGCCATTCTGACAGGTGCAGGTGATATCTCATTGTGGTTTTAATTTGCATCTCTCTGAAGATTAGTAACATTGAGCATCTTCTCATATGTTTATTGGCCATCTGTATGTCCTGTTTGGAGAATTGTCTATTCAGGTCCTTTGCCCATTTTTTATCGAATTTTTTTTTTGGTGTTGAGTTTTATAAGTTCTTTATAAGTTTTGGATATTATCCCCTTACTGGCAACATATTGGCAAATATGTTCTGCCATTCAGTGGGTTGTTTTTTCATTTTGTTGATGGCTTCCTTTGCTGTGCAAAATCTTTTTAGTTTGATGTAGTCCTATTGGTTTATTTTTTCTTTTGTTTCCCTTGCCTGAGGCAATATATCAGGAAAAACACTGCTATGAGAAATGTCTGAGATTTTACTGCCTATATTTTCTCCTGGGATTTTTATGGTTTCGAGTCTAACATTTAAGTCTTTAATCCATTTGAATTTATTGTCTTTTTAAAAAATTTATCTTTATTGTGGAAAGTACTGCAGATGTCCCCTTTTATTACCCCATTGACCCCCTCACCCCACATCCACCCCTGGGGTTTATTCTTGTGTATGGTATAATCTTTGTACTATTCTTGAAATTTTTTTCTGTAAGTTTGAAATTATTTAAAATAATAAGTGACATGTATATTTTCAACAAATCTCTAATAACCACCAAAAACAGAATGTAAAAACATAATGGAGGATTAACTAAATAAATTATGGTGTATCCAAATATTGGAATATTTAAGAATTTGTTTTAATGATGTTTAGGAAGATTACATAATGACATGGAAGATGCCCATAGATAATTAAACAAGCACATTCTAACCCTACTTACAATGAAGAACCTATCACATATAATATGTACGTTTCATACATATAATATAGAATCTTTATTCAAGAAAAAGGCTGGGATAGGCAGTCAAGTGTTAACTGTGTGAAGAACTTCAAAGACAAAATACTAAAAAAGGCAAACATACAAGGGGAGTGTCCAAGAAAAGGAACTATAAAATGTGTTAAAGAGATAACAGAATAAAGAGAGAAAGTTCTTGCAGAAGCCAAGGGAACGGAAATCTTAGAAGGAAGTTGTTAAAAATGTCAAATACCACAAAAGGAAAGCTAAGGAAGCTAACATTTTAGATAGGACCTATTCTATGTTAGGCACTTGAAATACATTATCTCACTTAATCCCTACCAACATAACTAACTGGTATTTCACATTTCCCAGGTTCAAAACAGAACTCCTCTTTCCCATCCCCCAAACCCACTCCTCCTGCCATCTTAGCCATCTCAGTAAGTGGAGAAGTATTTACCCTGTTGCTCTTTCACTTAGCACATTCGATCCGTGAATAACCATGCCTCTGCCTTATGACCCAGTGATTCCACTTCTGGGAATATATCTGAAGAAACCCAAAACACTAACTTGGAAGAATACATACATGTTCATTGTATTCACAACAGCCAAGACTCGGAAGCAACCTAGGTGCCCATCAGCAGATGAGTGGATCAAAAAGCTGTGGCACACAATAGAATACTACTTGTCCTTAGAAAAGAAGGAAATCTTACCTTTTGTCTCAGCTCGGATGGACCTGGAGAGTATTACGCTAAGTGAAATAAGGCAGTCAGAGAAAGATCAGGTAATTTCACTTATATGTGGAATGTAATGAACAAAATAAACTAACAAACAAAATAGAAACAGACTCAGAAATGCCGAGAACAGACTCACAGCTGTCAGAGGGGAGGAGGTGGGGGTCTGGGTGAAAAAAGTGAATAGATTAAGCAAAACAAAAAAACCCTCATAGACAGACAATAGTATGGTGATTATCAGAGGGAAAGGAGGGCTGGGGGAGGTAAAAGAGGGTAAAAGGAGGATAAATGGTGATGGAGGGAGATGTCACTCTGGGTGGTGAACACACAATACAATATACAGATGATTTATTACAGAATTGTTCACCTGAAAACTATATAATTTTATTAACCAATGTCACCCCAATAAAGTCAATTTAAAAAGAAAAGGTTTAAATAAGTGAATTAGTTAAATTTCATCCTCAGGAAACCAATCCTATGTTGTTTATAAAATATATAAACAGCAATTTCCCCAAATGCAATTGCCAAAGGACGTTAAACATTGCTGCACAAGCATTTACGTTTCTGGGCAATAGGACATTTGCTTTCATTTTCACTTCAAGCAAGAAGTTCTTTTTTTCTGTAAATAAGACTAAATTTTCTTCCTCTAGTGTCAGAGCTTATGCAAGACCTGCATCCCAAAAAGGGAAGAGAGACATCCAGAAGCCCTCAGAGCTCTCAGGTTGGAGATGGAGGTACAGTATCATGTTGGCACTGGTGGTAACAATGAAGGATGAGAACTCATGTTTCATAAGGAACAAGAGCATCTGATCTACCAGAACTATTTCCCCAGGCAGCTGGTCCAGTTATCAATCATTCCTTAGTGAGGGGCAATAAGAAACTGTTCAGTATCCACTAGAAACCTTATAATTTTCTGTCTATTTAGTGCACAGGAAACTTCAGGAATTCTCATTATATAGTGTGAGTGCAGTCATTCTCAACTACTCACTCACCACTGTTTTTAAAACTCTATTATAACCTGGCTGGTGTGACTCAATGGCTGAGCATCAACCTATGATCCAGGAGATTGAGGTTCGGTTCTGGGTCAGGGCACATGCCCAGGTTGCGGGCTTGACCCTCAGTGGGGGACATGCAGGAGGCAGCTGATCAATGACCCTCTCATCATTGATGTTTCTATATCTTTCTCTCCCTCTCCCTTCCTCTCTCTGAAATCAATAATGACATATTTAAAAATAAAAACTAAAAACTCCATTATACAAAACCTCCTATGTTTGACCGTATTTAGACACTTGGGCAGGTAACTCATCTGATATCTGGAATGAGCAAAGAAGATAAGTAATAAGGCTTCCAGGGTTTGGTCTAAAGTGGCCTACTTCTTCCTAAGCATACTGCATCTCATGCTCACACCAACTCTTCAAATTGGGTATTACCTGCATTTTACTGTTGATAAAGGACACACTTAGTAGAGTATGGTACGATTGATCTTGAGTGGAGATCTTTAGAAGAAGGGTGAAAGGGGAGGATGTGAAGTTAAACTGAGAGCACAAATGAATGAGATGTTGAAGCGACTGGTGATGGGGTAAGGATGGGTAAAGAGGGAAGTTAGGAATGACCGAGCCTGCTGGAAAACAAAGAATTAGAAGGTAGGTCTTAATTTGTTTTTTGGTTTGATGGTGATTTGTCCTGTTTTCCTAAATTTCTTTAGTTCTGAGGCCTGATGCTTCCCCCTCCAACTCTAACAAAGCTGAAACATCTTTCTTAACCATTTTCCAGGAATTTAATTTTGAGTAGCTGCAGCTAGTGACAAGAATGTAATGGGTGTTGTGAACCTGGCCAGGCTGTAAAGCTACAAAGACAAGGTCTGATTCTTCTCCTGAGCAGTGTCAGGCTGCTGAGAAGGGCAGGCCCATGTGCAGGTAGTTAGCCTCCAGTATGCCAAGTCCCGAATAAAGCGAACAGAGGGTGCTTGGGAGCACAGAAGAGGGGCATTTTACAGGAACCGAGGAGGGGCTAGGAAGCCTTCCTGGAAGATACTGATCCCTGATGCAAGTCTTGTAAAATGAGGGGACAGTGTGGTGTTGGTAGCATTTCAGATGCAGGCATGGAAGAGGAGCACAATCAGAAATGCATGTCGTTGAGAGGCAGGCTCACAGCGTGAGTGTGGGCATAGCATGGGGCGAGGCCCGAGGAGTGAGCAGGGTCCAGGCCCGCTGAGAAGACCGTGGGCACCACAGAGGAATGTTAAGCCGGAAGGTCATATGGTGAATCTGTTGTTGGTGCTTTTTATTGATTTCAGAGAGAGGAAGGGAGGTATAGAGAGATAGAAACATCAATGATGAGAGAGAATCATTGATTGGCTGCCTCCTGCATGCCCCTGACTGGGGATCGAGCCTGCAATCCTGGCATGTGCCCTGGCCGGGAGTTGAACCTCAGTTTCCTAGACCATAGGTCGATGCTCAACTGTTGAGCCATGATGGTCAGGTGGCTGTTTTTTAAGAGAGATGTCTCTGATGGCAGAGTAGAAAAAATACTGCAGACACAGAAAGGTCACACACATTTTAATATAATTGTAGGTGAATATCTCCAAGTGATTATTTTTCAAGAGCAATGATTGCTCTTTAGAATCAGTTCTTTGTTTCATTTATCATCTGCATACATCCAGATGTCTTACATCAGGAGTATTCAGCAAACAAAGAGAAAAAGAATAGAGGAGCCTCGAGCATAATGTAGGGCAGAGAGTGCTGGAGAGGAATCTTTGCAGGGTCACAGCTCACAGAACAAACAGAAGTGGACTCTTAGAAGAACAATGAGAGCTCTGGGTGCACTCAGACTGTGCAATGGCACGCGTTACAAAGAAGGCAAGTGTTTTCTGTCTGTACCCTTCATTCAGTGAAGGAAAAAAGACTAGGAAAAATAACATCTAATCACATTGCTTTTTTTTTTTTACAATTTATGTTGAACCAGATGACCTGAGTCATAGATATCAAACCTTATGCTCTTTCCAGGTTTTATGTCCCAAGTTAGAATTTTTATGTGAACGAACATACCTTGAAAAGTATATCATTCTTATTGCACTTTATTGCTATTGGACAGTAAGAGAGCTGCATCAGATAGATTCCACTTACCGAAGGTGCAGTGGGCACCAGGTCATTTTCTGTTCTTCCCGTCTGCATTGCTGTGTGAACCCGGACCGATTCATAAATGGAAGGTTCTTCCACTTTTCTTGGATAGGGATGTTTCAGAACAATCAGAGTGCCTGATGAAGGGAAAAAACCCACACACATATTCAAATAGTTTCCCCAGAAAGAAGGTCCAGATGCTAACAACCGATAACTGTGGCTGGATTGTAGTGTCTTGTTTGTTCATGTAGTCACTTGTTTATTTTCTTAGCATTTTTCGAGTACGTATCACTATGTGCCAGGCACTCAAGCTGAACACTGGAGATATGAAGTGTGATGAGATGACTCTGGCTTCCTAGTGCTCAGAGAGAACTATCAATAGATAACACTTAACAAATAGTCATTCAAATGAGCAGGGTAAGAGACCAATGTCAGCGATATGAACAAAGCAGGCTGGTGACTCCCGGAGGCCCTGAAGAAGCAATCTTTCCATGGAACACTTCAGAAAAGCTTTCCTAGGTGATATCGATGTAGGCCATAAGCAATAACTGAAGTTTTCCAGGTAGACTTACAAAAGCCATGAAAACAAACCCCACAAATGCCCTGGGGTGTAGGAGGATTACTCCACTGCCCTATTTCTTACTAGTTTTAGAGCAAACTCATAACAAATCACTGGATCTCAAAAAAGTGGATTCACAGCTTCTCTCTACTGGCACCCACCACCCAATTAATGAAAAACTAACCAAAGCCTTTGTGTATCTTATGTGAGCATACTGTGAATATTCACTCCTGTCTAAAGGAGGGTGGTCCAGGTGGAAAACGGGTCAGCCCATGGGCCAGGCTTTGAGGGCCTGGGCACATCTCTCAGGGGCTGGGAGCAGTTCCGACTCTAAGCTTTGGACCCGAAGTTCAAAGTCAATCAGAAACTAGAAACTCTGACTACAAAAAAGTAAGTGAAGAGTTTTTTCCCCTTTGCTATGGCTTCTTCCTTTTTACTTTACTAAGGTCTCTTATACAGCAGGCTTGGGATTGTACTAGACCCTGGGGGAGATGAAAGAATGCAGTAATTCATTCAACAAATATTTACTGAGCTCTACTATATGTCAGGCACTTGTCTAGATACAACAGCAAACAAGGGAGATATAGCATCTGCTCTGTGGCAGGGGAGACAGAAAAAAATTGGGAGGAAAAATGTCAGGTAAGAGAAGTGTTTTGAACAAACTAATAGAGCAAGGCAAAGGAACAGAGAGCAAAAAGCATGGAGGTGGGCAAGGGTGATATTTATATGGGTGGGCAGAAGGACTCCTTTGAAAAGGTAATTGGAAAAATTATAGAAAGTATGGACCTTGAATTGGAGTGAGAGTAAGGCCATGGGGGGAAAAAAAATACCTTCTCTGTAGTTATAAAACTCTTATTAATAATGATAAACCTACAAACATAACAAAATCTTTCTACGGTGCTTGAGTGCCCACGATGTACTCTCTGCACAAACACAACCGGGGCTTCTGATACCTGGGCCCTGATAAGTCACTGCTGTAGAGTGAAAAGGAGCTTTGAGAGTGGCCCAAAGAGGGTTTCTGATCTCGGCCCCAGCAAAGAATGGGAGACTCTGGTCCCCTCCTCTTTCTGCATCTAGCTCACTTCGGTGGCATTGGGATCACAATGAAAACGGCCTTTTGCAGTTATCAGAAAAGCCCCAGTCCCACCCTGACACACTGTCAGTGCTCTCTTTTGTCAATGTGATCCCTTCATGAGAACAGATCTAGTCATATCAGGACAGGGCCAGTTACAGCGTTACAGTCATAATGAAAGCAGCGACACCTAAATCAAGAGCAGCCGCTGTGCAGGCTCGGGGCTGTGTGAACACAGTTGTAACATGGCAGATGCTTGATGAATTTGGGGCTGGCACCTATGTGACCTACCCCCGAGAAACACCTCCAGCGATGTGCCTGGCATCACCCTAGTGCCAGGAAGAGCCAGCACCGCCACTCAGTACCTGTTGACCTTGGACAGTCCCTCTAGCTTTTGTTTCCTCCTCTGACAGGTGAGGGTAACTACCCCTTCTTCATAAGGCTGTTTTAAGCACCAATAAAGAAGTGTTTGCAAAAGGATTATAAAAATGTTAGATGTTATTATTCTTTGCTATAGAGTATTTTTAAATCCTTAAATGAAAGTCCAGTGTTCTCATCTTTGGGAGCATAAATTCTAAAATGTTACATTAAAAAGAACAAATGTGTAACATTCTGCTAAGAGTAACAATGGCAATTGTCTAGTGGTCACTGACTACTGTGCTAAGATATATCAGAGCCTCCTGAACACTGGAGCCCAGGCATCAAAGCAACTCACAAGTGAGAAAGAATGTGAAATCTCCTGCTTTATCTTCAAAGTTGATGCTAAATTTTTTATCCTGTTCCTTACAAAAATAGTTTTTTAAATAATGCTCTAGAAAGATGTGCCTACTCAGTATTCTTTTTGCATATAACCAGGTGTACATACCCCCAGGCATACTCTTATTGGCTCTATTTTCGTATTGCTGCTGTAACAAATCACAAGTGTAGTGATTTAAAATAACTCAGATTTATGATCTTCTAGTTCTGAAGGTCAGAAATCTGACAGTGGTCCCATTAATCTAAAATCAAGGTATTGACAGGGCTGCTTTCCTCCTGGAGGCTCTGGAGGCAAATCCGTTCCTTTGCCTTTTCTCGCTCCTACAGGCTGCCTGCATTCCTCGGCTGGTGGCCCCATTCCTCCGTCTTCTAAGCCAGGAACCGCAGGCCGGGTCTTCTCACGCTGCTCTCCCTCTTCTGCCTTTGTCTTTCACTTATAAGGACCCTGTGATTACACTGGACCCACCGGATGGTCCAGGATTATCTCCCCCATCTCGCTGCCAGCTGATTGGCAGCCTTAATTAATCTGCAAGTTGAATTCCCTCTCGCCATAGAACACAACCTATTCACAGGTCCAGAGAGTGATGTGGGCATCTTTGAGTGGGCCGTTATCCTGCCCACCACAGTCTCGGTCCCAGGGAGAGAACAGCCATAGGGGCCAGTTTTGCTGCCATGTAAGGATCTCTGGGCTGGTGTTGCTCCCTGAGCCTGCAGTGCTGTAACCACTGATATCATAAAGCCATTGCCTTTACAACAGGCACGTTTCCAAACCCTATGAGCCCCTCAGAGCAGATACGATTCCAGATTTATCTTTGTATTCCTACCTCTTGATAGTTTCTCACATAATGAAGTGGTGAGTGAGTGAATGAATGTTTCAGTAATTCAGGTTTAAGGCAGGAAAGAGCTTGGATGGACTAGCCTCTAAGGTCCACAACCATCCTGGCCTGGGGCAAAGACAAGGCAACAGCTTCAAGTGGGGCTCTCCAAATCTCCACTGGGGAGATCAAAATTCTATTTTGAAAGACTTTTCTTAAGTTTAACCAATAAAAGCTAAACTGAAGGAAATGATATTGAGGCAACCAGGAAAGCAGAATTGACTATAAATTGATTTTAACTAGTAAGACCATGAATGAGGCCAGATTGAATGGTGGAATGAAGAAAATGATAAACTACTTATAAAATGGTAACTTCCTGATAAAAATCTGGCCCAAAAGGCAGGTCTCCTTAGTTGGCCATTCTGCCCAAGGAAGGGCCAATATACAGACTTGTTGGCATGGCTGCTAGGCTTACAATGATTTCCTTATGTATAGACACAGTTCCATCCCAATACAGAAGTAGAGCCCCATAGACTCGGCAGAGGTAGCTTTTTGAAGTGATCAGAGCAGGACCAAGGCAGGCATTTCAATTTGCTGAAAGCGTCAGAGTTGCCATGATCACTGGGCTGATTGCTTATTGCTGTTCAGCTTGTCCTTAAATTCTAGGAGAGAATACTAATACCCTTCCAAAAAATTCCACTTCTCTCCCTGTACCTCTCTTAAAAAAAAAAAAAAAATCAACTTGTTAGGGTTGGTTTCTGTGATTTTCAATAAAAATAAACTTATATAGTTACGCCACTACAGACTCATAATAATTTCCACCCAAGGTTCAAGATAGTGCCTTGGCTCCATAGGAGAGAAACTCTGAATTAATAATGTTCAAAACAAATTAATTCCAGGACTTGGTTGGAAGAGTCAGATAAAATGCAACTGGAGGCAGGGCTGGTAGAAGGAGAAGAGAGAGGAAGATCAGCAACCACAGGTTTTGGAAACCTGGCAGCAAGTTTCACTTCAATTTCTGAGCTACATGAAGGAGACTGTTGTTTCCTGCCTTTGACTGAACTGGTTTCAGAAATGCTTGGTGGAGGTACATTTTTGAGGGGATGAGAGGAGGACCCAGGCAGGCATTTCGATTTGCTTTGACTGAACTGTAACTTACAGGACACCTACTCTGTGTGTAATACTGGGAGACTGCGTTGAAGAGCTCATCTTGTATTCCAGCAGGAAGAGTAAGGACAGTTTCAAGCCCCAGGCATTGGCTTAATATCTGAAATAGAGTGTAGTGCAGGAGCACACATCTCTCCTGAAAGGGAAACTTCTGTTTTTAAGTTTCTTTTATGCACTAAGTCTAGTGCTTTACCATCAGGCTCCCCAGCTGGACTGTAAGATATTTGAGGGTGACGTTGATATCTGATTCATCACTAAATTGTCATTGGCTAACAAGTGCCCAGTTCATAGTCAGCACTCAACCTCTATTTGATGAATTATATTAAAATAAGATCACATCCATCCATGTTTCATTTTTTACCTCAGGCTTAGAAAACAAGCTCTGCAACTGGTTTATACCTGATGGGCTGCTCTGTCTCTTCCTGCCAATGGAAGTGGCTTTCTAGGAGGAATTTATAGGAATATTAAAGATTTGTCTTTCTTCTTTGCAACTTGTTCTGCAAATGAACTATAACCCATCACAAAATGGTGTAGTTCAACTGTGTTCATTTACATATGAAGGGACTTAAAATTGGAAGACTACATCATAAACATTTGATAAATACAAATTCAGCTGTCTCTAAACTAACTCTTCATGATATACCAAAGAATGTACAGCTCTTGTGTATAATATTGTGGAATGAATTACCACAAAAGGACTTCATTAAATAACAATAATAATGATTGCGTATTTATGCCATGCTATGAATCATTCTAAATGACTTCTGT